ATTTGTGGTTGACATGATGTAGAACAAATGTAATACAATGAGGCTTGACTTTTCTTGAGCATGTCTGTATTACTGCTGTTCAAAAAAGACTTATTATTTTCGAGAAGAAAAACCCCCAACTTTGAGTCATGTTTGAACTGATGTTTTACCCACACTATTTTATTTTTCTATTTTTTCTATTTTCTGAAACTAAAAGGTCTTAGCTTTCAAATGATGTATCGCACATCTAATTTGGGCTTAAAGTTTCCCAGTTATTTGCTTTTCTATTTGGGTATGCAAATAAACGAGGATTACCGGTACTAAATTTCAAACTAGGTGGGTTTTAAGAGGTTTTAAAAACATTTACGTTGAACTGAAGGAAGTTAGGTGCCATATTTTTCCTCGATTATTTTTGCAAAAGTTTGGTGATTTATGAATTTACAGTAATAAATCAGTCTATGTGTTACAAAGGACTTACTTTCTTTTCCTAACATGATAAACTTATATAAGCATAGTCAATAACTAGTGAAAACAAGACTGTTTGCTTCTAAGATTTTAATACAGCTTTCATTTTCTGTGAAAGATTAAATCAATAAGTTAGAGGACCTCAGATATGTGGAGAGATTTACTTAGCATCATAAAAAAATATTGGGCCTGCCTGTTAAGCAGCTAATGTTTAACCTCAAAATAATTAATGTACATCCTGGTTTGCTCTGTTTTGATCCATAGTGATTCAATAATTTTTTGTGTTTTTTTTTTCACTTTTAACTTTGCACTGTGAAGTGTTCTGGTGTTTTGTGTTCGGCTATGATGGATTCTTGTTTTCCGGTCGATTTTTTGTGTTCTATTCTTTGCTAATCCTCCTCCTATTACCATGTGTTACTTGTATTTGTTAGTTTAATGGCCGACCTGATTTAATCCATCACCTGCCCAATATACAGTTTGCTGCTGTAATGTTTCTACCATCCATGCACACTTGGCTGCTTCCTGCAATCATGATCCTGCTTTCTCCTGTCTGAAACCATGAAATGCTCCTTTTATCCCAGTGCTTTATCTTTATTTTTCTCTGTATGTCTTTTTATCCAAATGCTGTAGCTAACTCTACCCGCGTGTAACTAGCTTTCAGCAATGTCATTTTTCTGAAGGAAGGATAAAAAAAGAGGATGATTCAAGTATGACAAGGTTTCCAAAGTGATAATCCTGAAACCTATTATTGATATTCTTTTTTTTAAAAGACAACAGTAAGTAAATGTGCATAGTTGATGTTAAAGGTTTTTACTGCAAAGTCTCCTCAGCGTGTTAATACTTACAAATTCTAGGCAAATATCACTGAGGATGAGGGAGTTAAGGTCTTACAGAGATCATGAAAAAGCTCATTACGAAAGCATTCTAGTTAAATTAAAGGATATTTCCCAAACAAATTCTCAGCAGATTTGGATGTAGTATCAAAGGAAAAATAGCTTCACATGTTTTGGCAAAGAGCAGCATGGTGGTGCAGCCTGTAGCACTGTTGTTTGCCCACAAGAAGTACTTTGGTTCAAATCCTGGCCAAGACTTTGTCTAGATGGAGTTGGTATATTTCACCTGTTGGTTCTCTCTTGCTTCCTAGCACAGCCAAAGAAAATGGCAGTTAGGTTAGGTGAATTGGTGGCCAGCAATAAACCAGCAAAATCTGGTTTAGCAACAAACACCTTAATAGACTTTACATGCCTTACCCACAGCTGTCAATTGAATGACAGCCTCACCCAAGGCCAGTCTCTCTACAATGTAGCGTGCCATCATCAGCGTATGACTTTATGTGTGTGTGAATGGATGAATGACTGGATGCAATGTAAAACATTGAGTCAAACAGGCAGATGCAATTCATATCGAAACAGCATATCCCTTTTCCTTATGTTTTAATAGTTATCAGTCTATTCAGGGATGTTAGACTATTAATGTTTCACTATTAGTGTTTGTGTAATAAAATGAAATAAAATAAAAAAGAAAGAACAAATTGCATTGTTCAGTTGTTATGTAGTAGTTGTCTTTGACTCGTTGATCCAGTTAAACGAACTCATCATGGAACAAATTATGAATGCAATTTATTTTGTTGCCTTAGATGCAAACTGCTCATCAGGATAGCTTCAGCTCGGATACATTCTCCCTAACCTGATTTTAGATGTCACAAACAGTTGAAAATGAAAGGGGGCATTTGTTTACTGTATCTATTAAAATATCAAAGACTTGACAAGTTAGAAGACAGTATTTTTAGATCATATTCACTTCTACCATGTGTTTCATCATCTGAATAAGTCTTGATAGTTTCAATACTTCGAAATATAAACATTTCAGAATCTGGTCCTTTTTTCAATTTGCATTTAGATTGACATTTTCTGTCAATTTGGGCACTTTTAAAAAATAACAAAGAATTAACCTTCAAGAACTGCCTCTAAAATTAGCAGTTGTCCTAAATGAAAAAAAAATGTAGAGAGAAATTATCCAGAAAGTGTGTGCAATGATAGGTGGGGAGCTAAGGGAGACTCCCCCAAGGAATAAATCAGGCCACTGTGTTTGGGGAAGTTAATCATCCAAAGAGTGGGAATGCGTTGCCAAGATTGGAGAAAAACAAATGCCTTCAGCCTCAGGCGGAAATATGTTTACTTCTTTTATGTATGCAACTGAATAAAAGCCATCAAACAGTACGCTCCTGCTCCTGTTTGGTAACCTTTTTGAAAGACGCGGTGCTGAGGGAGTTTACAATCTTGATCTCAACCTTTACAACTGGTAACATGAAACTTTCAGTGTATCTACAAAAAGAAAAACTTTAAAACCCCCCGCAAAAACAACATAACTTCCATCTATTCATCTATCCTAATCCATCTATTATCGGGGATTGGTTGTTTGGGTAACACGTCCAAGAGGAAGATAAGAGATTTCCTTCTCCAGCACAATTTGGCACATCCCAACATTTATCTACTCTACTACAGGAGTTATATGATAAAACAGGGTCTACATCTAGTTAGTGTCCAGAATGTACTTGATAAGATCAAGTCCTTGAGGGACTCCATGTAGCACACCTTTCAGCCTCTTGTATGTGTAATTCTCCTGGGTATGGTCATTACATGGTCATAGGTGGAGGGTGGAATCGGGACCGCAGCGACTCTCAAAAGTAAAAAGATCAACATCTAAAAACAAAGTATATGTTTTTCACTCACTTAAAGCCCATATGGAAACTAATGCTTAATGATTAACATCCTGACGTCAGGTTAAACCCTGAAAACCATGAAAAAACTGTCTGAATTTAGGAGAAAGTGTCCATCCCATTCCATTTAATAATACATATAGTGGAACATGGTGTAATGGTGAGCGTCTTGTGCTATTGAGTAGAAAATCTGTTCTAGGTTGGTAGCTAAAATATAGAGCCAAACCAGGTTATACTATATGACTTATTGAAAGTAACACAACTTCTGAAGGAGCTAGAAAACATAAACACTTTGAAGGGGCCTGCATACAGTCTGGACAAGTTCAAATTAAACTTGGGTAGCACTGCTGCTTTGCAGCAAGAAGGTTGTGGGTTCTATTCCCGGCCCGAGCTCTTTCTGCATCGAGTTTGCATGTTCTCCCTGAGCATGCGTGGGTTCTCTCCAGGTACTCTGGCTTTCTCCCACAGTCCAAAAACTGGACTTAGGTGTGAGTGTGTGTGAGTGGTTGTCCTGTTTGTCTCTGTGTTGCCCTGCGATGTCCAGGGTGTACCCCGCCTCTCGCCCATTGACTGCTGGAGATAGGCACCAGCACCCCTCGTGACCCCACTCGGGACAAGCGGGTCAGATAGTGGATGGATGGACATGACTTTAAAGAGGCTGTCTGTTCTTCAAATATTGGGGAGGTTCTGAGTGGTTTGAAACAGTTTTGCAAAGCAGAGCTAAACCAGAATTCAAACACAGGGAAGTAAAATACTCATCGCCAGCTACTGCTTGACATTAGTGTTTGCTTCCCTTTCTTCCCTTTAGATTGTAATTATTCCCACATCAGAGCAGGATTGTTTTGGTTCTTTCAATTAATAAATGTAATTATTTTTGAAAACTGCATGCTCTATCTTTTGCTGTACATAAAAAAATAATCTTGACATAAGAAACAGCAGTACATTGATCAAACCACAAGACATACACAAATGTATTTCATTTACATAAATCTTCTTTAATTAAAAAAAGAAAAAAAAGAACAACTAAAAATTCAATCGATTTGTAAAAATAAAACATCAAAACTCAAGCCTGAGTGAAGTGAGCAGCTGAAATACTGGTATGGTAAAATAATCTACATTTAATCACCTTTGCAGGGAACACTGTGTGGTTCAAAGACAAGATAAAACTATTTTGATGAAAGCGACAGCCTCAGAGTGAGGTATTAAAGCCTTACATTTCAAAAGCCTTAAAAAAAACATTGCTCCATTAAGGTACAGATTAAGGCCAATAAAAGCTCTTTGTTTCTTAAACCTCCACATTCTTTTCAAACAGCTCACAAACAGTCTCAAAATCGCACCCCTTCAGCAGTTCTTCGTACTGTCTTTTGACGTCTTCATAGAGTGGCATGGAGTCCTGTCGCTCAGTCAAACCTGGGAAGATAACCGGCTGCTCATTGACCAGAGGCTGCAGTCTGAAGTCCCCTCCTCCGCAGTCATATAGAACCAGGACAAAGTTCGCAGCATACGGTAACATACGGCTGGTGCGGAAGGAGCGGCGTGTCTGAGAGGCGAAGTTGGAGGATGTCAGAGGTTCGGCGTTCTTGAAGAAGCCCAGGAGGGTGAAGAGAGGCAGGAGGGTCTCTGCATGGCCGACCTGGACCGTCACAGCTTCTGTCACCTTCTGACCCGACCTGGAATGCACAGAATAACTTTTTGTTGCCGTAATAGTATGTGCTGAACCGACACAAAGTAGTTCCTGGCTTTAAAGAGGAAGGGAATTTACACATCTTTTTTATTTTCCAAAGAAATCTCTGAAAAGTGTGATTTGCATTTTGATTAAACTCCCTTTACCCCTTTAATAAAAGACAGCGAAGCCAACTGTTACCAGAAATCACCTGTAAAATACCTTTGATGAAACAGTGGCAAGGAGAAGTAACACAAGAAGTGTTATGAGATTCATACTATGACTTGTTGGGCTAACAGTGGCTGCAGTGGGCATAGAGAGGCTCCCAATAAGCAAAGGGTGAGCAGATGTCCCGAATTGTAAAGGGACATTTTTTACCTCTGTCCCAGTGTCCTACTAATTATAAAAATATCCCACATTTTACTGGTTAAGATTATGAAAAGTCTATATTGAGCAAAAAAACAAAACAAAAATGTAATATTCAGAATTGATGAGTTTTCAAATATAAACAAAGCAGGACTGCAGGCCCTGTTACAGAGCCGCTCCAGCTGTTAAATTAATAAATCATCTTCGTCACCTGTTGTATTTTACCTGCTCTTAAAATACAGCCAGCAAATGACTTATTACATACAAAATATAATGGAAACCATATTTAAAGAAAAGAAAAGGCAGCTACAATAGAGAATGTGAAATGGTTCATAACTGGGTTTATTACTGGGGGTTCTCAGAGAGATTTTTTTGTAAAACAGGGACATAGTTAGACATAAGGGTGGCTACAGGGGTGGCCAATGATGACCTGAGGAAGCTCCCCCTCCCTTCTAGCTACGCCCCTGTTGTGAAGATTGCCAAAGTAAAAAAAAAAATCTTATAGAGGAGAGCGTGAAGAGCTGTGCATCTCACATTTTCCCTAAAAAACATCCTTGTTGTTCCACATTTGTCTTTTGTTGCTCAAAACGGATCACTATCTTAAAAGAATCTCTTTTCTGTAATCCTGAGCTCATAACATGGTTATTTACGTACTTAACTGTGTATGAACAAGGCTGCTTCACTTACTATACGCACTGTGGCTCATTTACCTTGTTATTGGCGTATTTCATTTGTATTTTTCCTAAATTGGATGTGTTTTACTTTGCCAACATCACTCATTTCCTTTCTGACTGATGACACTACAACCAAATTGCTGCGCAGGACTGAGAAAAATAAACCAGGAGTCCATTTCGGTTTGAGAATCGTATGTCCTTAGACCAACCTCATGCATTCTGATTGAGCACAAAAGTCCACAACCTCATCATTTCTAATTTTCTGTTGGGCACTAAATGATTCCTATTATATTCAGACCTTTACTAAGTAATTAGAAGAGTTTTCTCTCTTCAGATGAAAACACTGACAGGACCTGTACCTCATCCTAAAGACATCTTCAAAAAGAAAACGAATGCTGGCAACACAAGGCTGTAGGAATATCTTTCTCAGTCAGGTCAGACAGCAGTTCAGAGATAGAAGACCCCAAAAGAAGGAAAACACCCATCCATCTGATGCAGTGATCTGATCTACTCTAGGACAAAGCAGATTCATTTCGTAAACTGGTTCAATCAAGGTCGACGCCTGAATCAGTGAACAGACAAGAAAAGTGATGTTTATGAAATGCTCAATTCAAACTAATTAAAGTAAGGTATTTTGTACAGCAAAAATAACATAAATAAATAAAATGTAAAAAAAAAAACTGATGGAAGATGTAGAAGGCGATTTGTGGCAAGAAGCTTTTTTTAAATGATCAAATCAGGTGGTCTGGTTTTTTTTATTTAGTCATGCAACATTTCCTTCACACTTCAGGCATGCAGAGCTATGTGTTGTTCTTTTGAACATTTCCAAATATTATATTTTTCATATTCATATTTATTTCATATTTATTTTTTATACAGGGCCCCACATGTACACCAGTAGCTCTGTATGTTGGCTCAAATGTAAACAAAAATAAATAAATCGCACTAAGAAAAACTCATTAATATATACTATCTTTATGATTTATCTTTATGATTTATTGGACATCCTGTATTAGCTGCTATAGCGAGTGGCGTGTGCACCCAGGCGCCATTGCTGTGCATTCATCAGTCACACAGACGGTCACACCACCCTCATTTCCTATCAGATTTTTATAAATAATGACTCAAGTTAAACTGAAAATGTATATTTACTTAGGCTATGATACATTAAAATATGTACTGAACATTGTGTGAAGACAAAGATATAAACAGTGTAATAAATGTGCACACAGTGCTAAAAGGTATTACATACTAGATGCCGCCTGTTGTTTCTAACAGCTAAAGTTGTCTAGTTGATATTATTGTATCACTGTTTGCTGGTTTCCATCTGTGCCACCGCTAGATGATAGATTTGGGCCTCTTTTTTCAGTGTTTAGACCTGTTTCTCTGCTAGACATACATATGGGCTCAGCTTATCCTGTGACTAACTGTATTTTTTTAAATCTTCCATCCCTTTAACAGAAAAACAGTTTATTTTCTAGACAGACCAATCTGTGGAGCTGGTTTACCATAATCTTTTTCTAACATAGAAAGTATATCTATAGACCAGTGCTTCTATGTTTGTTTTGTATGTCTGCTTCTGTTTCCTTGAACCCCCAGACGGCCTCGGCAGACAACTGATTCTGCTGGAGGTTAAAAGAGTTTTTCCTCTTCACTGTTGCTGCAAGCATGGACGGTATGAGGTATTGCTGTAGAGTCAATGACAAAAATCAAGCGAATATCTATTGTCACCACATGCTCATCCAAGGAGGATTCAGTCCTGCAAGTTAATGACTGGCTGTAATAAGCCGGTTTTCCACGGATAGAATCTTTTTACCAATCTGACTGTATGATCCCATTGAACTGTTTCTGTAAATTGCATTGAGATATCCATTCATTGTGAATTTGTGCTATATAGATAAGCAAAATGAAATTGAATTGAAGCAATGCTCTACTTTTCTTCTTTATCTATCAGTGTATATTGCTTTTTCTTCCTAGAATTTTTCACAAATTATATTCAATTCGATTTCCCTCAGTGTCAAGCCAAACTGTCAAACATATACATTAATCTGTTTATATCTGTTTATGAAATAACCTGTGCTATACGTGTGCTGCTTCTGCAGCAGCCCTGACACAATGCATAGCAACGGCTCCAGTGTGTCACACCACACATATGTGACGTATTATTCAATAATACATCAATGAAAAAACCAACAACTTTCTGCTTCTCAGTGTAAGAACATCACAGTCTGTCATTTAAACAGACATAAAAACACATTAGAATTCAGAAGGAAGACATTCATGCTTCGGCATCAAAGTCTGTCCCAGCTGGACAAGAGGGTGGTTTCTAAAACTCTCTCAGTTAGAGTTTAGCTTCTGACAGCATTTTTCCTTTATGACTCCTAAAAGATGGGTGTACCCACTGAACTAGCCAGAATTCAGCTCCTATTTGGGGAATATGATGCTCATGTCTCAGTTGAAATAGATGACTGGTCAGACCAAGAAGGATGTGCTGTAGCAGAAGAGTCATAGTTGGTTCATAACCAGGCTGATGTTCAAACATAGGGTTGTTAAACGGGCACAAAATCCAAAGTCCATCAACCCTCCCCCACCTATGATCATTTACACTCAACAATAAAGACACAGCAAGAGAAAGAAGGCACAGTAAATTCCCTCTTGAGATCATAAGGGTTGTTTGATGCTCCTAAACCATGCTGGAAATAAATCTGAAGCACGTATGAAGTCAGAGAGTGTACAACAAGTTTTATTATATGAAATATATATGAAGGTATTAATAACAAAAAGTGTTGAAATTGAAAGCAGTTAACCATGGCAGCCACTGTTGGTGCCCACTCACTTGTGCTCATTGAGGGCTTTGTCCAGACGTTCAAATACATCGTGGAAAAGAATGCAGCTGGATTTGCTGTTGATGTCATACCCATAGGCCCTTTTCCAAAACTGCTTCAGATCAAGTTTATACTCCATAACCTGTTAAACCAGATCAGAAAGATTAAATTGGGACATGCATGAATATGGACGCACTGCCTGGGTGGAGATGGGTGGTTGTGCAACTCTAACCGAGCATTAAGGTCATGCTCATAGGAGGCGATGAATGTTATTATTTGAAGTGGGAACTATTTGGAGAGAAGCGTCAATGAGCGTCAATGTCTGAAACAAAAAATTATTTAAACAAAGATATTTCACTAAAAGAATTAACATAACAACAACATAAGTAGGACGAGAGGTGAATGAATCGAACGTTTTAGTTACTTTTTTACATTTTCATTAAAGTTGGAGGGAGAACCTATTTACTCTTTTCCTCCGAAATCTATCTTTCTCTTGCAGAGCATCTCATCATAAACCTGTTTGGTAATTCTGAAGAAAAACTTTAAAACTGTGGTTTTCAAGCTGACGTAAACTTAGAAATTTACAACATAGACAAAAGTAGGGCTGTGTCACTTGAACCAATTTGTAAACATAATAATGATATGAGTGTGATATAATAAAATAAAACTAAATAATAGTAAAGTATCGTAATAGTAATGTAGAGTAATATTAATCATAATGTTTTAGTTTCAAGTTCTCTAACCACTGGGGTCGACTAATGGATGTTTTACATGATCAGGTTCACTACTGATAGCATTACACTCTAATAAAAATGTCCTTATCTGCATTTTGAACATTGAACCGCCTTAGCAACGTGCTTAATAGTGGAGATACCTTCTAGTTATTTGTTGTAAAAGATTAAATGAGGTGCAAGGGTGAATAAATCAAATTTCCTTTAGGTTTTAAATGTATCCATATTGGATTTCTAGGTCCGACTTGGCAAGAAAAGTCAGATTTTGCCAGAATGATTTTCCAACTTTGAAAAGATGATAAATTTCCAGCTAAAAAATCAAAATCACACATGGAATATATATTTAAGAAAAAAACACATTAAACTAAACATATTTCTATTTGTGGGTCTTTTTCTGATATGTCTTCCTCTTAAACAAAGTTAGCACCTTTCTCGAAAATCTGATTTATCCTTCATTTGTACTTTTATGGATGAAGATCCAAGATGACAAAACATAAACAAGTCTTTTAGCTTAGAATTTCATAAAGAAGTTAGTAAAAGTATTGCTAATTGACATATTAAGGCATATTTTTTAGTCAGTCCATTGTTTTTTTTTTCTCATTGAGGATGTTTTTTTTTTTGTTCTATAACACCAAATCCCTTTGGCTGGTTAAAAAAAATATGCAACATACATAACAATGAATGCTTAACTATCCCTTTTGAAAGAAAAATCTAAGCAGCAATCAGAAGAAAATCTAGTAGTGCAGAAAACCTCCAGACTCATTTCACTTCAACTGTATTAGCAGCAGTTTGAAGGCCTGCAGTTAAGGCTGTACCTGTGCATCAGCCTCGTCAAAGAGCCGACACCACGGGGAGTTGACCGTCTTGATGGCAAACTCATAGGCACACAGGTAGAAAGCAGCTTCCACCATATCTGCAGGAAAGAAAAATAAGATTTTAATGAATGCTATTCATCACATGTATCATGTGAAATCTCAGAATGAAAGAAGATCTGTCATTCAGAACTATTCTCTGAAGAGTTCTGCAAATTTTCAAATGTGATTTAACACATTTTAATGATTCACCCATGCATTACTCTGTTACCATTTCCTTCTCTTTTCTACCCTTCTGTTATATTTTTCTAAACATTTCAATCTTTCTTGGAATTATAATCACTTAACTGTTAGAACAATACCAATACAATACCATTTCATGTAGATGTTGAACAAACATTTCCTGTTTATGCATGTTTATTGCTCCTTTGTAACAGATTTTCTTAAAAAAAAAATGTAATTTATCTGTGAAATGTATAAAACCAGTTGGACGAAGAATAATTAACAACTGAAACAGTTTTAGTTTTGAAAAATTATTATTTTCTTCAATAAAAGTGCAAACATACTATTGTAAAGTTACTATTACAAAAAAACTATCTATATGTCATAAAATCTACACATACATGCAATAAAAAAGCGCACATAGAGGAGGTTGTTATTACATGTTCAAAACTCGGGGTTATCTGTACATTTGATGGTCAGGCGGGTTCTTTAAACATGTTTTTAGACTTGGTCCGTTTTTATAGAAAATTTACAACTTTCTGTACAACTATGGTTTTAGATTAGATTTAGTTATGGAAACTTCATATATGAAAACAGCACCCCCTACTGTTTATATATGTAGTGTAAAACCCTGCACACAAGTATCTGAGGAACATTTCTATGAAAGATATGAAAAAAGCAGTGTGCAAAAATATATTGCTGCCATATTAAATGCTTTCCTTTATGTTTAATTTGATTCATTTAAGTGGAAATTTAAAAAAGGTGTCATCTGAGGGGACTTTACAAGATTTAACTAGTAATGATGTGTTGCACTTTAGGAATTCTCAAACACAGTGATCTCAATTGCTAATCTATATTTTGCCGCTGCACATAAGTTAAACCTAAAACAATTAAAAATAAATCTTTGCATAAAAAAAAAAAAATACAGTGATGTGTAAAACGTGAAAATTTCAAGGACTTTCTAAACTGCATGACAAATCTGAAGAAGAGATTAAAACTGGCACATATTAACTAAAGTGATCGACTCAATTTATGATGTTAAATATGTACAACACATAGTCTTAAGATCCTTCAAACATAATAAATGCAATATTTCAGTAAAAAAACCTACATTTTACTTTATATTTACTATTTATCCGGACCCGGTTCCGGATAAAGCGAGAGACGACGAGTACGAGTACGAGTACGATTTACTATTTATATGTAATTTATTAACGTTTCATAACTGTATAAAGATTAATCCCTGAAAAGTAGAGGTGCACTGATTAGGTTTATTATATTGTAAAGATTTGCTGCTGCCTTTAGATCTGACCTGCAGATTAAAATATTTTTATACAAGTCCCATACAACACATCAAAATAATAAGAGCAATATAAAGGCAAGGATGTGTGAAGAGAACTGTTATAAACACGTGTGGGTCAAAACATATATCTCACATGCTATTAAGAGATTAATAATTTATAAATCTGGATTTTCACTAAGGATGCCAGCAAATATTGAGAACTAACTAAGCAGGCAGAAATCCAAACTATACATCATGCACCCATACTTTTATAACTGACCGTCTGTGATGAGTGGATATGGGACATTCAGGCGGTCAGCAATCTTCTCCTGGACCCTCTTCATCTCTGGCCCCTGGATGAACTTGTCCATCTCCACCAAAGCTAAAGGGTTCTTATCAACTTCATCGATAAACTTGGTGCATTTGTCGAAGAACCTCATGAGAGCATCGTTCACTGTATATTCAAACTGCACATCTGCATGGGGAGAAAACACAATGAATAAATGGTTAGCTGTTAAGACTAATCCTTATGGAAGAGGATTAGGGCCACTGAAAAAAAAACAAACAAGTTAACTGATTTTTACATTTTATTTCAGCATAAGAAAAAAGTCAGAATTCTGACTTTAATCTCAGAATTCTGACTGTTTTCTCAGAATTCTGACTTTTTTCCTCTGAATTCTGACTTTAATCTCAGAAATTCAGACTTTAAATCTCAGAATTCTGACTTTAAATCTTTGAATTCTGACTTTGATGTGAGTTGTTTGGGAGGGCCAGTTGTCAGGATTTGGTTGTGGTGTGAGGACCCAAATGCAGAGGCAGGTAGGCAGAGGTGAGTTTCTTGATGATTTAATGATAGATTAGCAAACAACTGAGGCAGGAATCCAAAAATCAAACATGAAAACAATGTCAAAAACAAACCAGAAACCATGGAGACATCTGGGGAAGACAATCACCAGGAGGAAGACTCACAGAGACGAGTTGGAGGAAGTTAGACGAGGAACCAGCACAGAGGAACTGAACAGAGGGTGTATTTATGGGAGACTGAAACAAAGGCTACATTCACACTGCAGCCTGAAGTACCGAAATCTGATTTTTTTTTTCCTATATGCGACCTGGATCTGATCTTTTCATGGCAGTCTGAACAACACAGATACGATTTTTTCCAATGCGACCCAGGCCACCTGGCTCTGTGGTCCTGAATCCGATACGAATCTGATCTTTTAAAATGCGACCTGTGTGTAAACGGCCAGGTCGCATTCATCAGACCTGAATGCCATTAATACTCGACAAAGGTCACTATTCTGCATCTTGCTACGCAGAAGCGGCAAGAAAAACAACAACCATGGCAGATGATGATGCTGAGAGCAGTATTTATGTTTAAACATATTGAAAAGAATGAGTTTTTATGTTTGTAAAAAACCGCTAGATGCACACCGGCGTTACCATCCATGTTTACGAGCACGCTGGCCTGTGATGTCATTGGGTTCTCTACTGCACATGCGGGACATTTGCGTTGTATGACTGCAGTTCACACAGGAGATCGCATACAAGTCACATATATTTGGAAATATGAACAGCAACGCAAAAAAAATCGGATTTCACAAAAAAATCGGAATTGAGCATCAAGGCCTGCAGTGTGAACTTAGCCAAAGAGAGGACTAACGAGCAGATTGGGAGCAGGTGTGAACAGAGCAGACAGGAAAAGAGCTAGAGAAAGAGGAGAACACAAGAGGGCAACAAATAAAAACCTGAAAACAACAAGAAAACACAACAAAATAAGAATTAAACCACTAAAACAAGAAAACATGGAGCAAAGTAAAACTGAAAACTCAAAAGAAAACATAACAGAACCAGAACTATGACACCAGTAATACAATGGTGAAAAATGACGAAATTAGGCAACCTTTTATGTCCTCTGTGATGCTATTTTATTAATGGAGGAGCAGAAGGTCATTAAAACAAGAGAGCTAGTCTCTAAAACAGACATGGCTACAGCTTGATGATTACATGTTTGTTAGCTGTCAGAATTCAACCATAATTCTGAGATTAAAGTCATAATTTTAGATTAAAGTTATAATTCTGGGAAAAAAGTCACAATTCTGAGATTGAAGTCATAATTCTGAGAAAAAGTCAGAATTCTGAGATTAAAGTCAGAATTCTCAGGAAAAAAGTCAGAATTCTGACTTTTTTCCGTATTAAACTGAAATAATATTTAAAAATCAGTTAAGTTTTTTATTTAATTTTTCCAGTGGCCCTAATCCTCTTTCATAAATTCTGCAGGCCATGCACCCTGATGATGCTGTTGGTACCTTTGATGGCCCACATCTCGGCCAGTCCTGCTTGGAAGGACAACGTGCTGTTCACACATCTGTGCTTGGAGCTTGTGATGAACTTGATGAGTCCTCCTCGAAGTTTCTCCTCAGAGATTATTGAGGGAAACAGCTTTGCCAGCCTGACAGCCAGATGCTTTAGATCCTGCACACCTTTCTGGACCAGTCTGCCGTCCATGTCCTCGGTGTACCACATCGTCCACTGGGTGAGGATCTCACGCAGCCATTCCTCTGTCCCACTGACTCTGTCCTGGACCAACTCGTACAGTTTCTGCATCTTTTTAACGTTTTTAGTGGTCGGGTAACGGGTCCCATGTCTAATGATGGCTGTCAGGTGGATTTCGCGACATAGAGGAGACGGTGGCTGCAGAGCGGAGCTGTTTACAGCCGTTATGTTCTTTATCAGATAAGGATTCACTTCCTCATACCTTCCTTTGGTGCTGAAATACTTGGCAATATGCGGGATGTTCTGGTCCTCTGGACTCGCTTCGGTTGAAGAACACCAGGAAAAGCCGGTTATGCTGGTAAAGTAAATGATTTTCCATAACATGTTCGTCATGATGAGCTTCTGTTTTTGTGCGGAGCCGAAGCTGTGACGTTATTCATGTGGTATTAACCAACCAATCAGAATGTGGAAACTGACGCGACACGCAGGGGCGGTTCTGGATGAACGGGGTCCTGGATGGCCCCCTTCCTCTGCTCAGAAATACTGCAGGACAAGATTTATTAATTGACTTTATTGATCTCAGGGTGGAAACGTTTACTCATTACATGAGGTCAAATAGTCAAAGAAGAAGATTGCACAGGCGTTTACATGGATATATATATATATATATATATATATATA